AAAAAAAAGAAAAAAAACTTACCCAACAATGCTGAGCCTCATCCTATCCACCGAGATGGTCTTTACACTGCTGTGAAGCTCAACACGAGCAGTTGTTTCTGTAGCATCTTTCACTATACCAACATATCCTGCAAGCAAACAACAAAGCAAATACCAGCCATCATTTCTTATTCTTTGGAACAGTCTTCCTTGTGACTTAAGGGAAGCAGAGTCCCTGAGGCAGTTTAAACGCTTACTCAAAAGAGATGTACAAGGCATGGCATTCGTGGAAAGCAGCTTTTTTTTATTTAATTATTTTCACTATTAGTTATTAGTAGTTTTAGCTGCCGAATTTTTAACCGTGTTTAAATAAAGATTATTTATCTATCTAACCCCTTTTACAGTGAAACAAACTCCTTCCCAAGAAATCTGCTACAAGACTTGTGAGCATTGGTACTCCTTTTGCCAGAGTTAAAACTTTATCGACATTCTTTCCTTTAAACAGCTGTCACCACGCTCTAACAACAAACGTCACTGTCATTTACCTTTATAAGGACCCTGTGAAATTCGCACTGTCTGTGAAATAAGAGACATATCACGACCTCCACGGCCTCGACCTCGACCTCGTCCCATGCCTCCTCTCTGTCCACCGCGGCCACCAGCACCTCCACCAGCTGACAGGACAAAAGTTAGCTGTTAGCAGGTTTGTCTAAAACGATTTGTACCATTGCTTATAGCAAGTCTAACAACTGGCTAGAGAGCTCACCTCCTTCTCTGGCTGGACTTGTTATTCTCGGGGAGGCTGGAGCAAATCCACTGATTCCCAAAGTATTTGAAGCTGCCTGAAAAAAGAAACATTTAAGAACCCATTAGGCTAAACTTTCCTAGTTAAGCATCCTTCACATAAGAACCATTCAGGTTCTTATTTTCAAAACATACAGTTTCTTTAAATCACATGCAATACAAAAAAAGGTGACAAAAACTAGTCAGAACACAGGCAGTGTTATAACACCACAATAATGTACTGTGAATGATTCAATATAAAGGCCACATCCACGAGTACAAGTTGTTTTTTTTAAACAAAAATTAAGAACCTAATTAAGAACCTAGGTAGCCTAATTTCACAGTAAACACCATTTATATAAGAACCTATGGAGGCTAACTTGAAAAAACATTGGTTCATATACGCAGTTTTTTACGGTAATGCATATCCTATTTCATTGTTAGACCTGGCGTAATGAAGTAATATCTCCTTTCCTTGACTGTTTTCCTCCCTATCCCTGCCCCACATACATTTTACTCTTCCCACCCTCCCAAATAGAGTTAACAGCAGAATGTTTGATTATTCTTTACCTTCCCACCCCCTGCCAGTACAAGGTGTTTTGTCCTGCACACGATGATCCCACCGTTCTCTATCACCATCTTAGAGGATAAGAATGCAAAGCTGCGGTAAAGATGCTTGATCTCTCCTTGCAGACCCTAAGAAAGAAAAGCAAAGTTTCAAGCAATAAGCACTAAAAGTTGACAAGTCTCGGTTTAATTTAAAACTCTGCTGGCTGGTGACATATCTGCATTAGAACTAAATGGCAGGACATCAAACAAGAAGATTTTTGCTTACATGAGTTTGCAAGTGTTTGAGATAGTAGTACTTACAGCATGTGGCCCTTCAATGACTTTAACTATATCTCTGACTTGCACAGTGTTCTAAAAAATAGAAACAAGTATAGAATTAACAAGAATTTCAAACAAGATTGCGATCATTCTTTATAATTGAGACAACCCTTCATTTGTCGATTAACTGCATGAATTTCTTTTCAGGCTTAAATTTCACAATGCTTAAGTTGTGTGTATAACTGCGATGATCAATCATATCTTCATAATTACATCTATCATAAGCCTTAACAACACGGTGGGTTTTTAAGCCAATAAGGCCCCGTCCACCCCATGCCGAAGAAATTATAAAATGGAGCTTTCACTCTGAAAATGCATCAAATGTTTTCCATCCACACTAGAAAACGCATGAAGCTTCAAAATCAATTGAAAGCATTGTAACGTCATCGTTTTCGAAAAGCTCCATTTTCGAAATGTTTTCCACCCACACTAAAACGAAAAGCTCCGTTTTCAAATTATTCTGGTCTCAAGAGCGCTTTCGAAAAGCTCCGTTTTCGTGATGGATTAGTGTGAACGGAAGCCCTAACCGAAGAAGAAGAGCTCCGTTTTTAAATTCCTCCGGCAAAGTGTGGACAGAGCCTAAGGAAAAAAAACAAAAATCAACATTTTCCTGTGCCTGGTGCTGGGTGCTGCATGACGATAGAATTCAAACCTGCTCAGAATCCAGTGCCACAGCATTTTTGTTTTCTTTTCTTCTCCCCACTGCTTGGTGTTTGACTTGAATCACCTGAAATCAAAGCAGCACGGACAGGATTATTACCTAACTCTTTTAGTCCGACCATCTGGCGAGTTGCTTCTTATTTAGTTGTCATGGGAGATACAGTTGCCTTAACAACCTCACTGGTGGCATTTGGTCCACACTTTCACTTTTCACCGTGACTCCATAGGGGTAGTGGGCCGGGGTATTTGGTCTGCAGGCTCAGTCAATTCCCTGAGAGGGTTGGTACCCATTCTTCTAGTCTGATAACATGCTTGTAGATACAGGGCTCTACCGCCGAAGAACTCTCGCCAGAAATCCTGCCCATAATGCAAGCTACCATTTTAACAAATGAACTCATAAAGTGTAAAGTGGTAGAGCACACTGGATGTAATACACTGAATGTAACTCGTGACAGGTTTAAGTTTGTAGCCATGGTTTTCAATATGAGTTCCAGAAGATTTTTTGTCCTGTGTTTTGCTCTGGACAAAGCACATCCATTGTTAGGGCATGCTGACAGGACATGGCTAAAAGCTTACAGGGGTTCACCGATTTAAAATGAGCCATATTAGCTGTTGAAGACTTACTTTTCCATGTTGGTTCAACACTGCGAACATGTCTCTATCCAGACGGATGATAACTCCTACTGTCTGTGGACTGCAAAAATAAACAACAGAAGGCAAGTTGCATGTACTTATCACCAAAACGACGACAGTTAATTTGCTGAATTGCTGTACATAGCTCTAATAAACTTACTCTAGCTGCACCATATCACCCCACTGGTGCTGTCCCATGGAGTCCACTCCACTGCTTCTCTCTGTACACAGCTGAAGATCTTTGGGCAAAACCTTGAGCTGAAACACCAAGAACAGAGATAAAAACATTTACAATGGTCTCTTCTCTAGTACTAAGCCTCCAACTCAGATGCAGAAGATTGTGTGCCTAGCCCAAAGAGTGTCTGCATCAAAGGCTACTTCTCTATATGCAAAGGAAAAAATGTACAAATGCTTTTTTAAAAGTGCTTAAATTAGTTTTCTATTTTAAGGAATTCAGCACTTTACTCACCTCATGCATGGTAAGATCAGCAAAAAGGACCACCATGTTGTCTTCAACTCTAACAATCAAGCCTGTATCACCCTCATATCGACCACCTATAACTTTCACATGATCACCCATCTTGAAATGCTTCTGTA